ATCTATTTATTCTTTTCTTTTTATTTGAAAGTAGATTATTTCATATATAATATATCCTAATTACTGTTTTCCCTCTCCTCTACTTCTTCCAGTTCATCCCCACCATCCCTCCCCTCTTCCTCCACTCCCTTTCTGTCTTTTATTAGAAAAGAACATGCTTCCAAGAGGTAATAACCAAACATGACAAAATGAAACATAATAAAATGAATCAAAAGCTTTCATGTCAAAGTTAGACAGAACAGAATGGGGAAAAGAGTCTCAAGAGCAGGCACAAGAGTCAGAGACCCACTTGTTCTCATAGTCAGGAGTTCATTAAATACTGAGCTAATAGCTATAGTATAGGTGCAGATGACTTGGTGTAGACCCCTGTAGGCCCTGTACTTTCTGCTTCTGCCTCTGTGAGCTCATATGCACCTTGTTTCATTGATTGAGAGGGCTGTGCTTATTTGACATCGTTTCACTGCTTCTACACGTTCTGCGCCAACACTGATAGCATATTTTGCAGGTAGGACAGATTATAGGTCAAATGTTTTATGACTTAGTTGGTGTCCACATTTCTTCTTTGGTAGTCTAAAGAGTACCTTCCTGCACCAAATAGACTAGAACATATGGGTAAAGGCTCCAGGTTGGCACCACCTCCACTTCTCTGTGTCCAATGAGTTGTTTGGGTGTTGTCTTTGGTAATAGTGCTCTGCGGTGAATTTTCAGAGAGCAACCCCTTATCTTGCTAACAACCTAGATTATTTAGGAATTTCCATGGAACTTACTTGGCCAGAAACTCTATTGAATATAACCCAGTCCTTCCACTGGAAATCTTCAGTACCCCTCTCTCACCAATAGACAGGCCCTTCAGACAAAAACTTAACAGAAAGAAGTACTGTAGAAATAGATGTTATAAACCAAATTGACCTAATTACAGAACATTTTACCGCAAAACAGAAGAATATGCTTCCTTCTCTATTTATATTCTTTTTTAAAAAAGTTTCTTTATTTTATGTTTATTGCATACACCTGTACATCACATGCATGAATTATAGACATTTTTAAGCTGCTCTGTGGGTTCTAGGAATTCCACGTTGACCTCTGGAAGAGTAGCCAGTGATCTTAACCATTGAGCCATTTCTTAAGCTCCCTCTGTTTATATTCTTAAGCAGATAACTTGCAGTATACACTTATAAATGGTCACTAAAACCTTTATTATTGCTAGTATTCCCTATTTTCTTGTGAGTTATGAGAGTAAAACCCTATATGGTATTACAAAGTTGAGAAAAATGACTGAATGGTGAAGTTCTAGAAAGGACACTCTCAGGAATAATTGAAATAATATTCTCATAGCACTCCTTTGGTGTTCTTATTACCACTGCAGTTAAGTTTTTCTTGATGCTTATGAATTTAATGAATAATAATAACACAACATTTTTGTTTATGTTTATTTGCTTAAAAGAATTCTTTTAATGGATATTAGGGTAAAATAGTTTTGCTTTTATTTTCAGATAATAAAGTAACTAACAACTAAATTCTCTTATAATAGAACATGCTATCTTTTTTATTTACTGATGTCCTGCTAAATGGTGCAATGTTGCTTGAAGAGTTTGTGCACTGGACAGAGAGCTAATTAAAAGAGTTGACATGGGCTGGAAATACAGCTTATTGGTCAAGCACTTGCCTAGCATGTTCAAGTCTCTACCTCAAACATCAACAAAGAAAATGCACCACGTTTTTGCCCATACCTGTTGACATTCTTTTTCAATGGAAGGCCCTTCTTCCCAAATGACTGGTTTTTGTCCAGTTGGTATAAAACTTGTCAGGTCAGTCAGCATAGTAACTCAGCCAAGTTAAGCTATTCAACTAACTGTTCTGCTAGCACCTTAACTCAGCTTTGTTTACATGCTTTGTTACATCCCTTCCTTACCATTGTTGAACTTGTGGGTTTCATGCTTGTTGAAATGTCACAAAATCTGTTTTTAAAAATTGTTTTAACGTTTTTCTTATACCAGTTTTTAAATGCTAGTTTGATCATAGAAAAGGTATTAAAATATGACATTTTTAAGAATAATCTTGTTAATTAAACTTTAGTTGAAACTTTAGAAGATCTGTATATCATGTGTGAATCTCTTTTCATATTTGTCCTTATTTTTTTCCCATAAATAATTATTGTTGTAGTTTCTAGTTTGATACTTGTAGACTCATGGACTCAAATGCTGGGAACTGGTCCTATTCTGCTTCCTACTATTTCTATTTCATGGATGATGCTGTGAAATTACTGTAAAGGCAGCCTGGTAGCACTTTCTTTCAAGGCCTATATTACACAGATGTTTGGTTTGCATTGTTTTTGTGTGGAAAGTATCTTCTTCCTTTTAGGCAAAGAAATTGCTTTTGAAACAAATAAATGAGAGTGTTCGTGTCCCTTTTGAAGTTACTTTAAAGATGATATTTGTACTTTGGGCATGTTTTCTAATAACTTTAATGCAGCTTGAAAGCTTTCTGATTTTGTTTTTCATTTCTTTATACTGTGTGCATCTGCTGCCCAAGGGTGTTGAGACCTGTTCTTTCCTTGTCTTAGCTCACACGTGCTTCGACACTACTTCCTTTGAAGTCCTGTTATTTTTATTTCCCATGACTCATAAAATTTTGCATTTAAATCATGTATTTTTTAAACACAGTGAATACAGTAGTCACAGTACATTTTCAGTCTTGACTGATCCCTGGTGTTTTCCAGAGAACACTGCTTCTTTTACATCATTATTTTGGTGAGGGGAATTAGCAAAATTAATGTGTTTACTCTTCTTCACATATGATTTATTAAGCAAAGGGGTGGTACATAGTATTCATTTTTTATTAATTAAGAAAATTTTAAATTAACATAAAAGTAATGGATTTATTGCATTTTATATGTATGATTGTTATATTTGCCCTGCCAATGGTAGTCCTCAGTTGAGAAAGAATGACATATCCTAGAGTCTACTGATGTTTTTGCTAGTTTTACACAAGTACAAAGTAGCCTCTTAATAATGTTAAGACTGCAGTGTTGAAAATTTGAGTAATGTTTTTAGGTGAATATTTTTAAACGTTAGCTTAGGAAAACAGTCTACTAAAATGATTAAAAATGAAGGCTAGATCATGGTATTCAGGACCATTCAAACAGTTTTGGTGTCTGTTTTATCCCATTTTACATAGTAAATATACTGTGGACAGGACCAAGAGCCAGGTGATCTAACTGGCTGAGAAAATCATTCAAAGCTAGATGAATTATAGTTACTTGGCTACCCCTCTTCCCACAATAAGTGTTACAAAAGCTTTTGAGCATTGTGTACAGAAGTTTGTGGAATTTAGATGAGTAATTTAAATATTTTCTCTTTAATAGACTTTACCATTCTGAAACTATAATGAAATGACCTATATATGGAAGTTGTGATAATTAAATGAGTACCTTATAAGTAAAAATAGTTTTTTTCAAAATGTTGTGTTTGTATTACATATTGTAGTGCAATCATTTATTAGTTTTAAATGACCCATTTATTATTTATTTTATTCAAACAAAATTTCTGAGCTTTTGGACGGAATAAACATTGTATTGCGTTTAGTTGGGTGTAGAAAGGTGAACATAACATGGTCCTTTCAAGTTTGAAGATGAGTAGTAACTGTTGTAGAAAGCAAAGGAAAAGCATGCAGAGAGGTATTCATAAATTCTAAAGACTGGCAACATCAGTGTCAACACTTAGAGCTCTTTTGTAACAGTGTCATTAAAGTTAACGTGTGTAACTTCATATTGCTGTTAAAAGGAAGGCTCTAATTCAGTGTGCTGAAATGGGCCTACAAATTCTGCATTTCAGACAGGTGCCCGTGGGACATTAGTATGTATGGTCAGTGGGTGATTGTTTGAAGAGTGAGACACTGCCTATTTAAGAAGGAAAAACTTATTTAATAGGGCCTGCATTTGAAGCTCTTTCCTGGATAGAACATTATCTTTTCTTAAATTATTTAATAATGTATTTAAAAGAGACCAGCAGGCAATACAGATACAAATGACTCCATAGCTTGTCTTGAATGACTTTAATTGGCTTTTGGTTACTGGTGGAAAGTTAGACAATATGAGATTGTACATTGGTTCTAATTAGCAAGGGACTAGATATTCTGAAAACTGAAGTTTAAGACAGCACCAATGCATTTAGAAAATTGATGCATATTGAAATATGCACTGATGCATATTAGAAGATAGTTATGTTCAGAATTATTTGGTACCTATCTAACATTGAAATAAAAGTTTTTTAAATCTCCACTTTATAGTAGAATCTAGGTGGCACCTCTGTCTCGTCTCCTCTAGAGTAGTAGTCTGCAGGTGGGCATTTTACGTCTTCAGAGGCAGTGCTGTGTAGGATGGAGAGTCCACCATACAGGCTGCAAATAGGCTTGTATTACTTCTAAACATGGAGATGCATTCTTTCAAATGATGAATACAGTCCAAAATAATGAATATAAATGTTTTGCTAAATCATTTTAGTCTTATTTTAACTGAGAGTTGGGAACTATGGAGTTTTTGCTTTCCACCTATTTTATGACTACTTGGGGAATTTTTTTATTGCACAAACATGTGTACGTGACACGTGTGTGGGAAAATAATAGATATGATATTATTCCTGTTTCAGTGTTTTAGTTGTAGAAGTGATTTGTGACAAGATATGAAAAATTAAATGTTCTGAGTAAATCATAGATATAAGTATGAAATGTTGAAGAAAACCTTTTAGAATACTTCTGGAAAATTAGTTTCTTTTCCTATAAAATACTTGTGTATTTTTTTTTTCAGAGTAGCAAGATATAATTGGCCCGTGAAACTTAAAAGGTGTTCTATTAACTAACTAGTTTGACTCTGATTACAATGAGAAATGCAAAGCAATGAAGGAGAAAAACAGTCCCCTCTCATTATCAAATGCAAACCTACAGGTTCACAATGTAACTTAAAAGAAAGTTGGAGAGCATGCACCTGCTCTAACACACCAGGACCGAGTAAAGGTACATTTGTTTTATATGTACATCTGTAAACATACAAGTATAAAATTCACCAGATCTACCCTGTAGTAGCATTGCTTAATTCCCAAATATATAGTTATTCAAAAACTTAAAGGAAATAAAATGTTTCAGGCTGCTTAACTGAGTATTATGGATACTGAGTTCTTGAGCTACTTAAGCTAAATGCTATTTTACATTATATGGACGAGGGAATAAGCATGTCACTTTCTGACGTCTCCTTTACTCCCCACAGCTGGTGTTTTGTTAAAGGGACCAATGACACATGATGACCGACCTGAGAGAAGCGGTCAGCTGTACTCTTGATAGGACGTCAAAACTTACATCGTCCTCAAAGCACTGAATGCACTTAGCTCTACAGTAATCAAGGGAGTCTACTGAGCAGGCCTTTATCCTGGGCTGGCCTTCGGGGTGGAGTTACTGCAGTGCTATGGAAAAAACGCTCCATAGGCTGTAATCTGACCTTCCATGTGGCACCCATGTCTAGGGTTAAGTTACTGACCTCTAGAAAATAAAAAATTCAAAGGCATGAGGACACAGAGAACCAATATTTGGGTGGTAAAAAGGGTAAAGGTGAGGTTGAAACATTTAGTCTCTATAATCAAGTCCTAACAATACCATAATACAGTCTCACATCAGCTCTTGATCAGTTCTTCTCTTAGGAATTAGATAGTGTACAGTGATTAGATACTGAAAAAAAAAATAAAGAAAAACAATTGAAAATACATGAAGAAACAGAAACATGGAATTTCTCACAAGGCCTCAAAAAAACATCAAAAAACAAAACTTACAAAAAGATCTTTTGAAAATAAGTACTATTTTAGGCTCATTAATACACAGAAATCACTTGGTTTTAACTAAGTCATGTTAACTCACTAATAAAAGAGTAAACAAACCAACATTTAAACCATTTTATAATTCCTTGTCATTTCTTGTACCATTCTCTGAAAACATACAAAAATAACTCTGCAGGACTATTCACCTAACCTGTCTCCACGTCTGGCAAAGTCCTGGCCTTGGAAGAGACTGGCCATCAATCTTCACTGTAGATGTCCCCAGCAAAGGGCAGGTGCACGTGACTGCCAGTGACATTGGGCAGGCGAGATAAGTCTGGCAGGCTCTGGATCCGGGCTCTGAGTTCTTTGCGAACCAGGGAAACTCTGGCTAACTTGCGCTTATATTCTTCCAATTTATGTTCTTTCTCTGCAAGGGCTTCCTTTTGACAACGAAGAAAATCTGCTAACATTTGAGTGAGCTGTTTTCTATCATCTATTTCTGCCGCCAGTCTGCCATTATAATCTGCCAGCAACATACAAGCATCCTCTACCATTTTAGAAAGCCTTTCTCCAGATTCTTTATCTGTTATTTTCTCAAGCAGGGACACTTCTTGAACTTCAACAGGCAAAGAAGCTATCCTTTGATGAACTGCTGCATCACCTGAGGCTGCATTTTCTAAATCTTGCAATGCTCTAACAAGGTCGAGAGTCTGTGGTGGCTCACTTGGGGACCCCAGAGAGGAACAATTTTCATTCTCATCCACCTTTATCTGGTCATAAGTCCGCTTCCTGGTCTTCTTATCTCCATAGAGAGCGTGCTTAAGTTGATCTAACACATCATCCTCATAGACAGATCGCTCTTCCCAAATAGACAGCACTCTGCCAAGGTGCTTCTTACAACTTTCATCAGTTTCACTTGAAACATGCTTGAACGCTTCCACAATGACTGGCTCAAAGTCTTTCGTGAACTCTGGTCCCTTCCGTTTGCTGTTCTGAATGACATCATTGGCCAGGTAGAGAAAAGTAAGCTTTCTGTTGGGTTTGGCTTTGCGAAGCTCCCGCTCCCACACTGTGACGATGGGCCGCGAGTGTTTGCGATGGTGGATGAGCCACAGGGACAGGGTCTGTACGCTCTGCTGCGAGTTGCTCAACTCGGACAGCTTCTTCTCCAGCGCCGCCTCAGAGAAGGCGGACATCCCCCCGAAACCACGTCCGCGCCGTCCCACGCCGTGGAGCAGAGTGGAGGAGAGTGTCGCTGCCCTCGTCGCCGCCTCGCCCCCACACCCCACCCTTCCCCACGCCCTCACCACCGCCACCCCCGAGTCCGAGGCCGGCCGCAACCTCTTGTGTATTTTTTAAAAAGGTGTAATTAATAACATAATTTTACCAACAAGCAGTGGACCAATCTAACAATTAGAAACACCAATTTTCCAATTATAACTTAAGCCATAAAATTTAGCAGAGAATATTTATGTTTATCATGATTCAAACCTTAAGTCTCTTTGTGGTTTTTTTTTCCAGAGAACAAGAGGACGAAAGCGAACCTTTGTTCCAGAGGAAGAAAAACATGAGGTTCGAATGAGTTCACTTCTTTTTACTTGTTCACTTCTCTTTACTTGTGTGAACACAGGGAGACTGTCTTGCTTTGGGTGTTTTCCGTTTTCATCCTACTCAGAGTTTTTTGTTGTTGTTGTTGTTTTTCTCATGGCAGGAAAGAGTTCCTCGAGAAAGAAGGCAGAGGCAATCTGTGTTGCAGAAGAAGCCCAAGGCTGAAGACCTAAGAACTGAGTGTGCAACCTGCAAAGGGACTGGAGATAATGAGAATCTCGTCAGGTAAATCGAACACTGAGATTTTGTCTTTATGGGCTAAAGTCAAATGTCCCTCATTTTTTTAAAAAAATAACAGACACATTACAAAATAATTACCAAACAAGTCATTTATAAAATATTGCCTAGTGACAGTGGTGCTTCAGAAATAGATTTTATACACTTATTTACCTGCTACACATGCTTATGATCCAGACTTAAATATAAATCAGATTGACAATATGAATTTTGAGCAAGAGAATTCCTTTTCTCTTGAGAATAAGTTGGTAATGCTTTATATAAAGAAGCTGCAAAAGTGTTTGTTGTGAGGACCTTCGACTAAGGTGATTATTTTATCTCATCAGATCGCTGAGTTTCTAAAGTCTTTTAGTGTGTCATAAAAGTTGAAGTTTTCTCACATTGGTTATTACAGACTTTGATTGGCAAGAGCTTCATTAGCAGCTCCTTATTGCTTTCTAAAATAAATGTGTTAAATGCTTCTCTGTTATGAAATAAAGAAAGGTGAAAAGATGGCCTAGATAGACTTTATTTTTTTTGTTTGATTTTCTTCTTTGTTTGTTTTGTTTTGTACTTTTGAAAAAATTTAAGTAGAACATGATGCCTTCCAGGAACCCCGGCTGGTGCTGCTCAGTGGCCACTCAGGGTTCAGAGACTTCCCATGTTAGCCATTTGCATCTTTGGCTAAAAGAAGGAACTACCAAAGTGCTGAGTGTGGTGGTGGTGGGTTGAAAGCAAAGGGTGCTCATTCAGAGTTGTTAGTTCTTCAGAGGACAGCGTTGCAAAGGGGCACACAGAATGGACGAGAGTGTTTTCTGAGTTCCTTCAGAAATTGTGTTTAGCAAACCTATATTCAGTTAACTGGGGGAAAAGAAAGTAAAATTCCAGAAAGAATAAACTTAAATTTGATAAGCCACATATTTGTATTTTATGAGTTAGTATTTACTTTTAAAATGTTGTCATGTGTTTTAGTCACTAAGAATATAATTTTTGTTTGTGTTAATTCAAAATTATAAGTAACCAAATGTAAAATAGAAGGTTGTCAGGCTTCTTGTTTTTTCGTTGTACTGATGAGGAATAGGACGAAGTAAAAATTCCACTGAAAAAGTAAAGCGTTAGGAGACTTACTAGCTAATAATTCTCTAAAGCAATTTTTTACCTTGTAGGAACTTGTAAATATTAACTTCGTTTATGGCTAAGTTCTCCCAAGTTTAAAAAATACACAGGAATACTTGTCTTCCCATTATAATTTTTGAAGACTATCAAAAGTGGTCTCCTAAGCATAAATACAACATACTGTGTACATAAAACTGTGAACATTTTTTTAAAATGACAGCCTCATACAATTAACAAAATTTAAGCAAAGTTAATTTCCTGGGAGCTGGAAGTAAGGTTGGAGAGATGGATGAGCTTGAGATTCTGTAAGAGTTAGTGCTGGTGGCTGTCCTGCAGCTGTTTGCACCTGTACACATGACTGTCCTTCTTTTGGAGATACTCCATTGAGACTGATGCATTTACTTTACGATCACTAGATTTTTACAGAGATGTGTTATTTTTGGATATATTTAACATTAGAAATGAAAACAATTTTTATTTCAAAAACTACCTTATTCTAGTACAGTTCCATACCATCATGTTTTAGTTGTCTTTTAAAAAATAGGTTTCATATTTTTCTAGAGTTGATAAGATTTTTGAGCTGTACTAGCCTTGTTTATTTCATGACTTTCTTTCATGACTTTCTATTATAAACTTTTTATTCCTAATCACATTATTGCAATATGCAGTGTCTGAAATTTTGTCAGTCTCTTGGAAGGCAAAAATATTTATGTTATTGTAGAATTGATGATGAAAGTAGCTTTTCTGATTTACCTTATTAAAAGAAGAGAGCAGAAATTATCTGTAATTATGCAAGAGAAATCAATAAAGAAGCAATTAAGATGTTTTCATTAATATTTTGAAATTAAGGTGGGTATGATGTAATATCACAAATGCTATTAGTTGTAATGTTATCTTTATTGTACAAAATATGTTCAGATTAGGCACCATTGTTCTTGGAATGAAATTTTTATGTAGAATTCCATCTGCTTAGTAAATTAATTTTATACTTAATATTTGTTACTTTGCCTGGCATCTCATTTATTTTATAATTGTTATCATTATTGTTTGAAAAAGCCTCCAAAAACATTTTTGTGATCATATTGGACCTTTATCATGCATGCTTCCTATTTTCAACTCTAATTTTAGCATATTTAATTTAATATTTGAATACATACTAATTTTTTTATTTGTAATCATTGGTATTGAACCCATGGCTTCATGAATGATCTTTTAAACATGTCTTTATTTTTTATAAAAATATACTCAAGGGCAGGGAGCTAAATCAGGAGAGAACCTGCCATACTAACACAGCAAAACTAAGTTGGATTTCTGATATTCAGAAAAGCTGGGTGTGGATTGTGCAGGATTTTGCCTATAATCCTTTGATAGGGAGGAGAGATAGGCAGGTCTGGGGGCTCACTGACCTGCTGTTGCTATAGCTTTACCACAGGACTTCAGATCTCAGTGCAAAACATTGTCTCAAATAAATAACAAACAAACAAATGTAGACCAAAGTAGACATCAGATGGCTTCTGAAGAACAGCATTCACGCTTGGCTTCTGCTGGCTTCCATATCTGTACCTGCATATGCACATCCATATATCCAGACGCAAACATATACGTGCGTCACTCCAACACACATATACAAAATAGCTCTCAGTGCCTCAGTAGACATGTTATTTTTCATTGTATATTTGTTTTAGATTTTCCTGTAAAGCTTAAGTGCCTTGGGATCTTAATATTATTTTATTGAATGTAGTTTGTTATTTTCTCAAGTTCCTATGAACTAACATCCATAACTCTGTAGGATTTGTTGCTTTGAATTTGAAACGATACCTCTTGTAATTCAGGCTGTGCACTAAAGTCCTTCACGTTCATTTTCTGTTCTCAGTGTAAGTGTTTTAATATTGAGTTTATATGTATAATTTTTCAGATTATTTTATATTTGCAGTTTATCAGTCACCCTTAATTAGTTGGTCCCAGCTGTTATTTCCTGTTTTGTCTGTAAATTTTTCTCAGGTGTTGGACACATTACTTAGCATTTTTGTGCTTTAGTTTTTACCCTCTATTGTAGCTCAGCAAAATTGTACTTTGCTTTAGGTATCTTGTGAATAAGTGCTAAATGATTATAAAATTCTATGTAACATAGCTATTAAGACAGTAATCTTGTATAGCATTGCAAAGGATGTTTATGTAAGTGAGTGTTGTTGATTGGCAGATGCGTTTTCAGTGGTAAGTACTTCTGAAAATATGCATAAATATCAGAAATTATATGTACCCTAGTTTTGTTCAAAAATATTTATAGAATATGGGGGACAAAAAAGTTTAAAATTTGTCATTATGTATTTTCTAAAATGATTAGATTAAAATATTTCCACTAGATGAGAGAAATATGAGAATTATCAAGGTTTTTAAAATATTTAACTTATCTTCAAAGCAATCTTATGGAATTGGAATTTTTTAAACAATACTTCCATTTTACTTTTGGAAGTATTTTGGAAGTATACTTACATTTTACTTTTGCTTTTTATTTTGTTGTTGTTGTTGTTGTTGTGGTTGTTGTTGTTTGTTGCATGGTTTCTCTGTAGCTTTGGAGCCTGTCCTGGAACTAGCTCTCGTAGACCAGGCTGGCCTTTAAACTTAAAAATTACTTGAGAACTTGCTCATTAAAACTATATTCCTTTTTGTTCTCAAAAATGTGCAGTTTAAATGCTAAAGGCCTACATGAGACTTGTTAAAATTGTGGTATCTCTCTAAGCATATATCTGCCCTGATAATGTTCTATATACCTTGCCCACTTCCCAGTAATTAATTTGCTTTTATTTCCATCTATTATGCTCAGAAATACTTGATAAATGAATCATCGATACTTAATAAATTTCATATAAGTATTGGCAGTTTTAAATAAAATCTCTATGATTATATATGAATCTAAAAGCAAATTGGGTCACGATATAAAAATACATGTTTAATAGATACGTTTCAAAGACTTGCTTGTAAAGAAATGCTTTTCAGTAGATGAAGTACAGTGGACACTTGTATGTGTATGAGATAATGAAAGGAACCTGATATATCCATACAAGAGTAGACATGTTGTAATCCTATTTCAAAGTATTTGCTTCTTCAAAAGATAAATTTTAGAGCCAAGAAAGTCTGTCTTCTCCATGAACTTTTTACTCTTCTGTTAAACTGAGAGCAAAATGAACTATATGCCTCATAATTAGCATTAATTAGGTAAACACAATATGACACCTACTGAGAGAGAGAGACCATAAAGTTTCTGAGAAAAAAAAAGTTTTTATCTGTGAGCTCTCTTAAGCTGGCACTTTTATTTTATTTTACATATAGCTGTTAATCAGAAGCATAAGGATAGAAAACAACCTGACACTATTTCAGTTTTACAGCTAATTCTGTACTCTTAAATGTATGCTGGAATTTCATTTGAGTAAGTGGCAGCTTATATAGATATTGGATCATTTTGGCTACAAAGTTAGCCTGATGCCTAAATAATGCTATGAGCACTTTTATTTCCTTCAGCTTTTAAATGTCTTGCTTCTAGATGCTTTTTCCTAAACTAACTTTGATTGTACATAAACTATTAGGGACACTAGAATTTATGTATAATAGATTTTTATTTCAAATATTAATCTCTAATGAGTCTTAAGTTTATTTATTTATTTATTAAAAATTTCCACCTTCTCCCCGCCTCCCTTTTCCTTCTCCCTCTCCACCTCCCCCTCCCTCTCTAGCCCTAAGAGCAGTTAGGGTTCCCTGCCCTGTGGGAAGTCAAAGGTCCTCCCCCCTCCATCCAGGTCTATAAAGGTGAACATCCAAACAAACCAGGCTCCCACAAAGCCAGTCCATGCAGTAGAATCAAAACCCAGTGCCATTGTCCTTGGCTTCTCAGTCAG